ATGGGTTGTAAATTTCTTTTTTTTTTTTTTTTACCCCTGTATTTTAGGGAAGGGTCTACAGGGTGTTCAGGGTCTCGCTACTAGATCAGACTCCTAGTGATTCTCCTCTTTACAGCCTCCCAACTGCCGGGATTACAGGTGCACGCCACCAAGCCTAGTCTCAATTGCTGTCTCAGCAGTTCATTTATATTGTGCCAAGAGGCAGCAGAGGCCCTGGTTATGATCAGTTATGCTACCATCAAAGGGACTAAGCTTGAATCTTGGAAGACCCTTACTAAGACTTTCAGCAGTTAAGTAACTACAGACATATTTGACTGTTTTACAATGAAGATAAAAGTACCTAACTTGGAGTTAAGAGATGCTGTTAATTACATAACAATTACAGTTGCTATGTAATATCCCTAGCAACACACAGGTCTAGTGGTTTCAAAGGGGTCTGTGGGTTCTTGGAAATCCTGGTCCACAGCAGCCAACTACCCTTTTCCTGAGGTTTCTGAAGACAGACTTGGCGTCAGTGCTCAGTGATTGTTTGTTGAGTCGGTCAGCAGAGGCAGTTGGCTCCACTGGACCTATCTTTATTGGCCATTCAGCTCCTGAAGGGCCTTTTTCTATCTGAGGAATTCTCCCATCCCCAACAGAAGTCCAGTATTCCAGAAAACCTCACCCTCACCGCCTACAGCTAGGACATGATCACTCATCAGATCCACCTGTTCTGGACATTGAATTTCAAGATGGGATGACACAGAGCCCTTCTGAGTGGAACTCCCACATATGCAGGTCCAGGGTAGCACAGTAAATGGAAATCAAGTTCCACTTTGTTAGTAGTAGGGCCTCGGCCCCTCCTTGAAACCCAAAAGAGGTACTCAGTCGGTCTCACCACCAGACCCAACTTGCTTCAGCAGCATAAAGCAAAGACAAGACAGCATTTGAAGGGGAGCCTCTATGTAGAAGTGGGCTCAAGATGCCTTGCTAGCCCCTGTGAACACTTAGTCACCTTATCTTTGACAAAGGGGCCAAACATACTCAAAGAAAGATAGCCTCTTTAACAAATGGTGCTGGAAAAACTAGCTCTCTACATGCCGAAAACTCAAACTTGACACAGGTCTATCACCATGCACTAAA